CTGTTATTATATTGAACATAAATAAAAATGTGTTTAAGAAGATAACACAAATAAAATAATTCTCATTATTTTTATCTACACTTGCACATGAATCATAAACTCATTTTAAACATAAAATAACACCAGTGCACTATTATGCCTCGAAGTACATAAATTTACTTTAGATAATATAAAATATCACAGATAATCAATATATTTGTATAGATTTTACTAAAGTAACAAGAAAAGATTATATAATAAGATAAATGTACTTATGACAATAAAAAATAGAATTTTGTTATTGCTTATCTTATGCGAACATACCAAAGAATTTGTAACTCATTCGCGAACAGTAAAGCGAACACATTAAACAATTTTTAGCAATTTTCAGATAAAAATAATATGACAACTAATAACCATATATAATAAGATACATCTAACAGTAACTATTATCTGACAATTTATTACATATTAGCATATCTGTAAAAAGATATCGAGTACATCCCATTATATCCTATGATTTCATTATACCCCAGGTTCCCCTACCATAATGTAATATATAAACGTCCTTTTTACATATTTTATATGTAAAAAAGACGTTTACAGCAGTGTTGCTAACTTTGATGGACTATATTCTCTTATTTTCAGCGTTAAAATAGGTAAAATAGTGATAAAAATTAATGCTATGGGTAGTAAAAAATGCATGAAAAGGATGTAGCGTCATGTATGTAACATTTAATTTTGAATCGATCGTGAGCAATCTGCAGGGCTGTGTTCAGAGAGACATTATTAGAGCTATTTGAGTCATTCCATCTACATTGTTTATTAGATGTAAAGCAAGGATAGAATGACACTAAAAACGCTAATAGCATCTCCCTGAATATACCCCTGACGACTGGAAGTTGAATAAATTCAATTACATATGTGTAGTATGTATTTTATACGTATCAGTCGTATAACATTCGTTAAATTGCTGAAAGATCACAGTTGTATTTATGTTATGTATCTTGAATTACGTGTGTTGCATTACATTTTTAAATAATTGTTATGATTATGCAACGAAGAAATATATCTTTGTTCTTTTAAAAAACCCTCAAAATTATGTGACAATTACGTATCGTCTCCATAACCATGAATTACATATCGTCTCTATGCTTTGCCGGCTTGAACCCATTGTTAATTGACTCTAAGGGCCTGTTCTTTTTAGCTGAACTTTTGCATCAGTTCATCTTTTTTCTTTTTCTCTTTAGGAGGAAAAACGAGGAAGAAAGATGAACTGGTGCAAAAGTTCAACAAAATAGAACAGGCCTTAATAAATCGCGTGGGAACTATATCAGGTTTCGAATATTTCAATGCTCAGTTTTTTTTGTAATGTATAATCTATATACGTTTATTTGAATATGGCCGCATCTGTGGCGCAGAATCGTACGAAAATCTCAAGAACGAGCACTTGGCTGTGCACTTGACTAGGTTTTTTCCAACATGAACACGATAACCTTGTGTACTAATATTTATCTACTCTGTTTATCTTTTACCATTTTTTATTATTATAACAAGCCGTTGCGAATCAGCCTCGTGTAGAAATGTAATGGTAAACATTTCTATTAATCCTTCGTAGTCACACCGGAGTCAAAATGACCTCAAAGCGCATTTAACTTATTACCATAGTCACGGTTTTCGTCCTTTGAAGACAAAAAAATTAATGATTAAAGGCGCTCTGAGATCATTTTGACCCCTATATGATCATTACGGTTCAACTTTTAAAGAGGTATGGTTACGAAGGGTTAAAATAAATGGATATAGTGCTTTCATCCGTTTTGATTGTTATAATAATCTGCCCTTAATCGGAAAAATATTTATCGTATTAAATTTCGATGTATGTACAAATTTGTAGCATAATCGGTATTAATACTGAAAGGCCGTGGTCTGATTCATGCTACGCTCATGAGCATCATTTAACATTTGACAAACAATAAGGATGAAATGATTTTTAAACGTTGTGAGCGTGAATCAGACCACGGTCAAAGATGTAAACGGTTTATCGTATCCGTTTAAATATAATACGTACGGTTGTCTTGCAATAAAATAATGTTTATTTTCCGCACTTTTCTTTGCGTGGAACTTAACAAGGTTTACAGTAAGACACGCTGAAATTCTCGTTATTGATGATGCGATACTGATAATTTTTGTAGGTGGTGAAGTCTACCTCGCGCATTTGGAAAACGTGATCCATAATATTTTTGACCACTGGTGGGAAGCCTGTCACATTCGCAGTGGTTGCAAGCTGATCGTAGTAAGCCCATTGTCTGTCCTTTAACTTGTTAATGTGTCTCAGCTAGGAACAAAGAAAAAAGTTATAATTCAACATGACACTCTTATTTAGAATAAACGAAAATCCCTACAGTACAAAGTTGCACAAAAGTCGTAGCTACACTGCTGCAACATTGCAGTAACATTACATGTTGTAGCAATATTGCAGAGATTTTGCAACGATATTGTTGCAAATTCTGTGCTGTATGGGAATTTCTAGATAACCAGATATACACTGAATTAAAATTATATCGCAACATGATTTTAATTCGCTGAATTAAAGTTATATCGTGATACAATAGAAATTCGGAATTATTATTATGTATCGACATCATAATAATTCAACGAATTAATTTATGTCACGAAATAAAAAAAATTCGTATTTCTATTATGTCTCGACATTATTTAAATTCATGGAATTATTTTTATGTCATGACAATTTATATTCATTAATAAAAATTGTAATTTTTTTAGTTAATTATTTTTTAAGAATTTAATTTCTTGAAATGCAAAATTGCTTTTATGTTATTAAATAGTAAAACGACGTGCCATATTCGTGTCTGTCTGATAATCTAGCTAGGATATTGGCCTGGTAAAAAATTCATATAATATTTTTACATTTTTAATATTTTAATTTTCTCTTTATAAAGTTTAAATTTATAAATATTTTTCTGAAAAATATCTCAAAAAACTTCTTCAGATTTTATAGTTTTCTTCGGAAATTATAAAATAAGAAATTTGTAAATATTTCGGAATTCACATATAAAGAATTATAGAAGAGATGTAGACTTTTTCAACATTTCTGAAAAATGTTCCAATTTATACAAAAAAACTAAAAAATTTTTTTAAAAGTTATAAAATTATATAGGAACTGTGAAAAATTTTGAAATTTTTCAAGGTCATAATAATTGTCATATCAAAATATGTTTTGTCTTTCCCTGATTCGTCATTTATGTCAATCAACAACATATACAGGGTGTCCCTCCATACAGTGTCAAAACTGCAACGGCTTCAGCACATGAAAACAAAGTTCAAAATGTCTACTGAACATACGTCCGGTTCCGAACGGTTTCGGAATTTTTTCTCGACGAAATTGTTTGTCCGATAATATTTTCGAAAAACTGTTATTTTTACGCAATAAAAACTTATTGATGAATAAATAAAAGTGTGAAGACAGTAGAACCCAGATTATTATGATAGAGGACTTTCTGATTCAGTTTAGTTCGCTCTACTTACCTATAAACGGTGATGCACCTATGTGATTGCAATTTGGAGCGTTCATGGAGCGAAGATTAAAAGTAAGCCCAAACTAAACAGACAGACAATTGACGATCTCTTGTATGTACGTATGACCGAAAATTTCCTACGCTTGTTTCTGCGGTTGGAACCAAAATAGAATAATGTCTGAGATCATTGACGATAGAAAAAAAGATATGCACCTAATATATATACACCCTGTATATATCGTTGATGCCAATCTACCATTGCCTCTCAAAATGTAACCTTTTCCTGCAAATTTGTAAAAATTAATCATGAATCACATACCGGAATGCCTTGGTCCAATAGAGACTTCTTTTCGATTTCGTACTCTTCGCGCATCTGTTGCAACGACGGTAACTTGATACGATCTTCAAGGATCCCGAGGATATACTGTGCTTGAATATGGAACATTGGAAATGGTATCACCAACGCGGGCAAGCCCATGAAAAACAGGTTTGTGTAGTCCATATGCACTAGATGCTTGTAGATGGGTTCCACGTGGTCGTCGTCCGTACGTATCTCGACTTTAGCCGACATAAAGGGATACGTGAATTTGTAACCTGAGAAGAAATTATGAAACTATCTATCATGAATCATGAAGAAGATTTAACTGGAACGCTGATATGCATTACCAGTGCAGAATATGAAATCGTCCACTTCCACTGTTGAATTGTCGCGGAAGGTGAAGATGTTTCCCTGGATGGACTCGACACCGGGCTTTTGCTCAATATTGCTCGATATTTTTGAATTCAGCTGTTCCGGCAGATTATGACTCAGATATACCTGAAATCACCAAGGGAACTAAAGGATTAATAAAAAAATTGAGTCGAACCGTTGATGATTAGGATCATGATGTAAGTATATTATGACTAGGATTACTATACCATTGCTACGCGGCGGTTTTTTTACAATTAGCATTTTACGACATACGATTTATGTGGTCGCAGATTATGTATCTCAAAAAGATTCGGAAAGGACCTCGCATAAACTTTACGGGAATTGAATTTTGGATGAAATTTTAATATATTTTATGTAAGTTCCATGGTTTATGTGAGAATACTAACTGAAAATTTAACTTAAATTTTCGTAAGGTTTGTCCGAGTTCCTTTGATATTGATAATACTGTCGGGACATTATCAGGAAGATGAAAGTATGACTTTAAATTTGTCAAAGACGATAATTAATAGCGCAGGGATTTATGCGCCAGCGTACTTTATTAGCATATTGCGAGACTTCCATGGCGATATCAATGCCAGACCAGGACGCGCCGAGTATGCAAACCTTCTTGCCGGTATAGACCTCTGGCACTCTGTACTGATGACTGTGAACGCATCTACCGCGAAAGCTTTCGATACCTGGAATATGCGGAATACGACCGACAGTGTAATGTCCGTTGCACAGCACCACGGCGTCGAAGATCTTTGTCGTTTCTGTTTTGGTCTCCAATGACTCATATGTTACCAGCCATAATGTCCGGCCGTTCATAGTTTCTGGCTCTACGCGCTTCACCAGGGTATTCAACTGAAAACAAACGTGATCCAAAATAAAAACATGACAAAAAACGAAAAAGTCGTACCAATTATTTTAGCATATATACTCATTCACAAGATTCAAAACAATACTTTATAAAATATATAAAAATAACGCATTACCTCTTTTTTTCGTAAATTCGTTATCGTTACTTATTATTAATTTTGAAAAGTAACGTGTTGTTATTACTGTTATTTAAAAGAAATTCATTATTTTTTTTTTCATTACTTTTTTATAATGTTGAAATAAAATATTAAGTGTGTATTAATTGTAACAATGATCAATATTAAGATTTTAAATCATAAACTATATAGTCCTTATATAGCAAGCACTTTCCTTATTTATTTAATAAACCTTCTATAATTCTTTATATTAATATTTTTAATTTTTAATATAGAGGGTGTTCCCTAATTATTGATAAATTTATTTACAAATTTCCAATACATTAATTAAGATCTTAAAATGATGTCAATTGAGCATCAAATTATTAAACTTGCTAATCAATTTAATTTGTGATATTACTATGGATCAGTTGCGTTTTTAAGCCCGGAAAATTAATTCGGCACGTAATTCAAGAGACTACAAACGTGATATATAAATTCATATGAAATTATTAAAGCACTCTATTACTACATTAAAGGACTCTAGATCCAGCTTCGATCGGTATAGGTAAATATATTTAAAGTTAGCGTATCATAATCGATTAAAGTTCACGCGTTTAGTTGGGGTTGGTATTTTGTTCCACAATATAACTCAAAATATTAATTATACTTAAACACCACGAAATTTAGGCAATATGATTCGCTAACTTTAAATGCTTATAATTAAAAAACTATTAAACCTTGACATTTTGGTATTAGATCTCCGTCCCAAAATGATTTCAGAAATTTTCTAGCAAGTAGTGTGGTAGATTTAAGATGCCCAGCATAATATGTTCAATTTCTTATTCAAAAAATCTTAAGTCTCATCAGATATGCATGGATCTACAGTTTTAAGGATGTTAACATGACGGACTTTCATCTTGTCATTCAAGATTAATTAAATATTTCATTTATGTACTAACAGATAAAAATATACTTCTAGTCTTTCAGCTACGGCGGCTCATTCATGTTGAGGTGGTACTTGTGTAGTAGGCTATTATTCTGATGTAGTTATGATCAGCTGATTATTTTGTTTGATTTATTTTGTTTGATGCTCGATCTTTTGGTTCAATATTGTTTCTGTTCCCCTCTCTCTATAGGGATAAATATTTAAATAATATATTTTATGTCGAGAGTCGCTCAGATTCTGATAACAATGAATGAATTTACAAACACTATACTATATAACATATGGTAATACGAAAAGTAGTATATAATAGACCTTTATATACATATATATATATATATAGACTTATATTAAGGTCTCCTTTAAGATTTATCTTTTAAAACTTTAATGTGCCTCTAAATGGAAACTCTGTGGAGGTGTAGAGGATCATCGTTTTAACATCCTTACAACTGCACAATGTATGCAAATGCATGCATATCTGACGAAACTTCAGATTTTTTACGTAAGAAATTGATTATATTTTTTAATTTTTAAATTTAGCAATTTTGAAGTATTTTATTTTTTAGCATTCCTTTGGTTTTCAGTGAAAAAAAGATTATCAAATTATACAAGTAATTAAATAATTAGAACAAAGTCATTATTATAGTCGAATTATTATTATAAAAGTGAATTGTGTTATTCTCTTTAAGGCGAATTTTGACTATTTTTCTATGTTATCATATTTATAGCAACCTAAAAAACGTAAGATCACATGTGTAACTTACGAGTACGTTACACTTCTTACAAGGGAACGATCAGAACTGTCTCTTATTGATTTTGATGCGCTTTGGATATGTTGTAGAGCATCAAAAAATGTTCGACCCATATTTTTTATAATGGCTTATCTCGAAGTTTAGGGGGTGAAACACCCCCTTTAAGAAAATGGATTTTTTCGTTTTCAGCAAATGTCTTCGAAACTATGCCGCGTATAAAAAAATGGTTTATACAATAGTTTTACAGTATTTTATGCTGTATACAATAGTGTATTCATTTTTTTTTAATCAAATTTTTCAATTAACCCCCACCCCCACTTATCAGGGTTGCAAAATTAAAAAAATTTTTAAGAACAAAAATTAAAGAGCATCGGATGCCGAATCCATTCATGTACAATAATGTTATGGTTCCACGATTCAATATTTTAGAAAACGAGATGATAACGTGCGTGGCGTTTGTACATAACACGACTATCATCTTGATTTTTAAAATATTGAATCGTGGAACCATAACATTATTGTACATGAATGGATTCGGCATCCGATGCTCTTTAATTTTTGTTCTTAAAAATTTTTTTAAATTTTGCAACCCTGATAAGTGGAGGTGGGAGTTAATTGAAAAATTTGATTTAAAAAAAAATGAATACACTATTATATACAGCATAAAATATTGTAAAACTATTGTATAAATTATTTTTTTATACGCGGCATAGTTTCGAAGATATTTGCTAAAAACGAAAAAATCCATTTTCTTGAAGGGGGTGTTTCACCCCCTAAACCTCGAGATAAGCTGCTATAATTTGTCCTTTGTCACTGGCGTACTGCCGGCCATGCAGGGCATCCTTTAATAGTTAAAACAAAATAAATGAATTAATTTGATTGCGTTGAAAGTCCGACAACCATATCGGCACACAATTATAATTTCTGAAATTAATTCATTTAAATGAATTTACAATAGTTCAACATCTTAACGTTCTGACCGTTATGGCGCTTCTTAATTTAAAGCATTGTAGTTAACATTAGCGGTCTTTCAATCTTATTATTGAAAATAAATGAAAGTCGGAAACAGTAAAGACAGTACTATAGGCTGGATGGCAAAGTCTAAATTTCTGCAGTTGTCAAAAGTCCGTATTCAGAACATGTTTATAACAAACCGAGATGTTCTATAGTACGTATATGTAACGTAGATTATGGTATATCATATTAAGATAAATTATCAAGAATTTTACAGTTTACAAGATATTTTATATTTTATTTCAAAATATGCGAAAATAAAGACTGAAATATTTCTTAAACTCTATTCTTAAATAATTTTACTTCAATACTTATGTGTATACGCAGAATAACTAGAAGAATTATCAACAAGTGAGATAATACCTATAACGAAGGGTATAAGGCTATAAGTCGAAGCTGGATCTTAATCCCCATAACATAAAACGTCACAGTTACATCACAACAATCATGATTACGTCAAGGTAATGTGCGAATGTCCACTTTATCACAAATGTGATGTCACAACAATACCATGGTGATGTGCGAATGTCTTTGTAACATGTGTTATTTTATTGACAATCTCACAGTGACATATATCCTTCCTGACTATTGTGACGTAAATGTGAAAGTGTTTAAATATTTTCATGTGAATTTATACATCACATAATGTAGTCATTTGATGAACTGCGCGCCGAATTGATTTTTCGGACTTAGAAACGCAACTGAATCACTGTAGTAATATCACAAATTAAATTGCAAGCAGTTTAATAATTTGATGCTCACTTGGCATCATTTTAAGAAGATCTTAATGTACTGAGAATGTGTAAATAAATTTATTGCGAAAAATATTACCTCGGTTGAGAGTCGAACCTGGATTTTTAAAATTTTATGCGAGCGTCTTAAGCCTTTAGACCATCGAGGTCTTAATAGTATTCTTCGCAATAACCGATATGTAGGAAAATACGCATATTTCAGGCATGTGTAAACAATAATAAATGATTTATTAAGACCGTATAATGGGAATATACAAGTAAGAGATAATACTTATCGAAGCTGAATTCGACTCCCGGCCGAGATAATATTTTTCACAATAAATTTATTTACAGATTTTCAGTACATTAAAGTCTTCTTGAAATAATGCCAATCGAGTATCAAATTTTTAATTTAATGCTTGTCAATTTAATTTGTGATATTACTACAGTGGTTCAGCTGCGTTTCTAAATCCGAAAAATGTATTACATAAATATGTATTACATAAATTATAAATTCACATGGAAATATTTAAGATCCAGCTTCGACCGTTATAGGCATTATCCTTCACTTGTTGTATATTCACATTATACGGTCTCAATAAAAAGTTTATTATTGTAGAAGAATTATATTATGTAAGAGGAATCTTTCATATAATTTTGTTAAAAAATATGCATGGTGATGAAACCTTAAAAAATCAATTTTTTCGAAAATTGATTTAACCAAAATTTATTTATCCCTCTACTAACCTTACAACTCTCGTTTGAAATTTTTTTAGATATGCTTTCTTTCCGGCATAATATATCTAATAAGATTAAAATTAATTATCCTACGCGTAGATGTTAATCAGAAACTCAATAACGATACTTCATAATGTCGAGTAGCGAAGAAACGCTTTTTTTACAATACATTTCTCCTCGTTTTCGTATATATTTAACAAAATATGTCATCAGAATGCAAAAATGAGAAAACGTAATATATTTTGCATTTGATCTTTATAATAGAATTCAATAGTATTCAAAAACTTACTTTAATGTAGGGATAAAGATTGAAGTGTTTCGCATAGCTCATGAGATATTTTTTTATTAAGCTGTGGTGAACGAAAGACGGGACATCCAGATCTTGAAAGGGAAAGTCAGGTATCGCCATTACTTCCTTCGGTATATTTGTCCTGCAAGATAAATTTGCTTTCTCAGTATTGAGGTGATCATGCGCACGACTTTTGTTAATTTTCCGCTGCGGAGTTCAGAAGATACGATGACCTATAACCCAAGACTAGCGATAAACAAAGTTGTTAGTTATTAGCAATTTAGCCCGAAATAAGCTCTAGTCTATTTTGAATTTACTCGATAGACATAGACATAACTGGAAAGATATTTTTCCGTCGTATTTCTTATGATTAAGCGTGTTTATATTACGACGAAAAAAATATTTTTCAGAAATATTTCTAATTCTTTTTATTTTTTGTTAATATTATTCGATATGTTGTTTAGCTATAATTAAATTGACTGTCGAAGGCTCGAATAGGAGTGACTTGGTAGTTTTCAAAACATAGAATCACATTAATATATGAGTGGTACAGATGAAATTATATTAGATAAGAAAATTACATTATCCGAATGCAAATAGGGAATTAAATGTTTGCATTCGTCATCATTGTTTACTTCCATCGATTTCGTTCAAAAGTCTATATCTTGGCAAGAGTCCTTGAGTCTTTCACATTGTTACGCAATGATTTTCGATCCACATTGCAGATCGCTTCATTATTTGATTTATTGTTGACGTATGCGCTTCCTTTCCGGAATTCAGGAAATCTTCTCGTTAATGTGTGTCACACAAAGTGTATCGCGTGTCAAGCAAAGTTTATCACGTTATTGCATTAGACCGGGTATTTTTCATGTGTGCAGGGACACTATATTTATTGTTTTTTAATTGTAGAAGACGCTTATTCGTTACGTACTTTTATTCCGTATTTGTTGCAAATTAATTTCTGTTTTGGAATCGAACTTATGATCTGCCACCTCATCAACAGTCCTTCATATTTATCGAAATGTAATTGCCGTATGTCACAGGAATCCCAACTTCTATTAAGAATATAATTGAGATTGCAAAATCAGTATTCCATTATTTGAGATTGCACAATCATTTATTCTATTATGCATTATAAAGAATGACAAAATATCCACATACACGCGCACACACACACACACACACACACACACACACACACACACACACACACACACACACATATATACATATATATTTATATTTTTATTTATGAACATGCATACACGCACATGCATGTATACGCACGCATACACAGTGTATATAAAGTCAAATTTTTTAAAATATATCTTTACATTAGGCAGTTTTTTCTTCTTTACTGTAAATGTATTTACATATGAAGTAAATATTCAAAAGTTGTATAATTCGTACATATATATATTGTCTTATCAAAATGTGTTTTGACATAGTGTATATTGCAATATTCTTCGAAAACTACAAATTGGGTTAATAATATATTAAATGTTAATTTTTGATGCATACCTTTGTTTTACTAGCTGTTTATCTGGTTAATTACTCCATTTCTACACTATTGAAGCATAAGGGACTCTAAGTTTCGATGCAGAATAGTATCCTTAACAGCATTAAAGACGACTTTAATATTTTCCGTGTCTACTGCAGTGGTGAAATGATGAACAACCGTTTCCTTGGATCACGCACGCACGCACGCACACATACACACACCTGTGATGACACTGCGATCAAATCCCACCGATTTAATTGAAAAAAATCTATTTAGATCTAATTGATAATGGAAAGATCTTAAAACTATATTTGGGTGAATGACTAATTGTAAGACAGCAGTGATACAGATTTATCGAACAAGACCAAAGAAAGAGATCGATACTGTGTATTAAGTGAAAAATCAGCTATATAATAATAGTAAATACATATACAGGGTGTCTCACAATTCACACCCATCCTTTTAAGAACGGATTTTTTGAAACATTCTAAGACGAAAATCCTAATACGAAAATATCAAGGCTATAATAGTTTTTAAATTAGTAGCGATTAAAGTTTACTAATCACGGAGCTGATATTTCGCGTGCTCAGGCATATATCGATACGACAAATGATGAGGGTGCTTCAGAATCCTCTCAGCAACTTTAAGATTATCCTACAAAGGGTGCGTTCCGAGTTAAGCATGATGCATCATTAGGCCTGTTCTTTTTGGCTGAACTTTTGCACCAATTCATTTTTCTTCCTTTTCTCTTCAGGAGCAAAGAAAAAGAAGAAAGATGAACTGTGGTGCAAAAGTTCAGCCAAAAAGAACTGGCCTAGTTATTTTGTTCACCAAATAATAAAGGAGGATAAGACGATACATCATGCACTTCATGCGTAACTCGATCGGAATGCACCTAAAGATGCAATGGGTGCATTCAGAAGCGACGATCGCTGGCTACGTTTACACATTTAGATCACGGCTATACAATAGAGGTCCTTGTTTATCCTTAGGTTAAACAAAGACACCTATCGTATAGTCGCGGACTAAGCGCACGGTGTAAACATATTGTATATCAATCTCTTATTAAAAGAAACTTCTCTGTCTAAAATTTCAACATTGCCCCAGTCGAAATTGTGATTCTGGTCAATGCGGTGACTTGTGATCACTGTTGGGGATTTTGACTTCTTATTAATATAGAGATATACTTCTTATTAATTCTATATTAATAGAAGCTTCTTTTAATAAGAGATTGATATCGGAGATGGTTCACATAAAACGACAAACGCATGGGCTAAACAAAATGACAGATTCTCTGCCAGAATCATATCTAAACATTATCAAATCTCTTTCCCCTTCTTAATATTGTCCTTTGTCCCCTTCCAATTATCTTTTCTATTTCTTTGTTTCCTTTTTGTCATAACGTCGCTGTACATCGTCGAGGATATATCTAACAGTATTATGGCTTATTTTTTATTAAACATAACTTTGTTAATTGCGTTTTCTTCTCGGCGTCTAACTTACATCATTAAGACAATTTAAGGTATATTTATTTATGTAATTTAATTGTTACTAATTTAATATAAAATGTACTCAATTTAAACTGTAACGCAATGTCAAGTTATTATTTATTTGTGGGATTATAGAATTGTGAAAAGTGAGATGAGATCACCTTTAGGATATTTTAAATATGGACCGCATACTGGACATTATAAATGTGATCGAAAATTTCCGATAATTTATGTAATAATGTTTTGTTGTTTTACATTGAAAATGACCCGATCGGTATCGAAACGTTTGTACAATTATTAAATATCTTACAGTATAATTGGCTCGTTGCCCTTCTTTTATTTATTGATTTATTCTAATTGAGCCACATTAACAATTATATTATATTAGCTCATTAAAATCGGAGGGGGACAGTTGGATCCCTTTCCTTACGAGTAAAAAAGGGATTAATCTCTGATTAATATGTTTATTTATTATAATTCGTAAGGTAGAATAACTTGTCTATTATAGATAATCTTTTATATAATATTTTTTATTTATTTATTACTGTTTATTATATAACACGGCATTATTAAAGATTATTAAAGATTATCGATAATAGATAAATTATTTCACATTACGAATTATAACAAATAAACATATTAATCCCTTTTTTACTCAGTAAGCGCTATTATTGAGCGGTCGTGGTACTGAATGCACCCAATGACATTTTTATTAAGAAATTATTGTTGCTTCTATACGGAATCTATTTGTATATTACGTACACATAATTAATGTCGGATCATACATAGGTCGTCTGAAAAGTTTTGAGCCTCAACATGAAGATGGCATTACTCGTCAAAACAATTTTGGTACTATAATCGTACATACTTTGAAAGATACCTGCGAAAATTGTAGCTACTTCCAGCACTTAGTTGTTGTTTGTCAGTCATTTGTGCCAGTCAATGTCAATGTTTTTGTAAAAATAGAAAAAATTTACGAATTGCGGTTCGAATTAATTGACCATCCACCGTATTCACCATCTGGCCCCCAGCGACTTTTTTCTGTTTCCTAGGCTCAAAGTTTGGCTCGGAGGACAGAAATTTTCATCGAACGAGGAGGTCATCGCATCCGTAGACGCTTATTTTGCAAAGTAAGACGCTCAGTATTATTTGAATGGATTAAAGGGGTGGGAGCATCGCTGGAAAAATGTATCAACTTAAAAGGAGACTATGTGGAAAAATAAAATTGAATTTAACCGAAAAATTACTTGTTTCTATGTTAGGCTCAAAACTTTTCAGACGACCCTCTATAACAAAATATCAATTTAACAGCGAGATACTACGACTTGTTTCGAAATAAATTCATAACCATTTTCGTTCGTGAAGTAAACATTTTGTAATAATATCTATAGATAAATCTATCTTTAACGTGAAAAGAATTAAATAAATATTTGACATGTTTCAGCCTTAATTTATCAATATATTTAATGTTGCTAAAGTAAGGCTGAAACATGTCAAATATTTATTTAACCCCAATACATAAATATCAAATAACCGGCATACATATTTCTCAATAATTATTGTAGTAAAACGTTGAAAAAGGATAAAAATTGATATAAACTACATCGATACATATGGATCGTTAAAATTAATAGAGTATAAATCGATGTCATTCTTACTGATAATTAAAATATGTATAAGTTTATAAGCAATAAATTAATTAAATACAATTTTAAATACATTTTATAATCTGTGCTTGCATTATCCTCCGTTTTAATGTTTGAAGGTCATTAACGAGTACTTCATACACATTTTGCTTCAGAGCAAACAAAATCAAGAGATATATATTTCGATATTATATTCATTCTTATAGTTCTGTTACTTAAGAAGTCAATTTCTTTAAACAAAGCGTTTGTGAGCAAACTTTCAAAGAAAAATTTTACTTGTTTTGAAGTCCTAAGTTCATATTTTAAGTTTGATAGTTTAATCCGACAACATCCTGTATATGTACATACAAGATAGACAGCCGGTCTCGCTTCGATGTCATTGTATGCGCTTGCTTTTAACGCGAGACACTATCGTGTCTCCTGATAAAAATGTTATGCAACGCTTTCTACATATTTACTCAGTTATTGACGATCTTACCTGAGATTCTTGTACATACTGCTGTGTATCAAAAGTCCGTGTTTGTCAAGATCTGTTTCATCAGTATATACCCAGGTGCCACCGATGTGATCGGATTGCTCGAAAAGGACGAGACTATAAGAATTTAATTTGGCTACTACATGACGTGCTACCACCAGACCAGCCACTCCACCACCCACAATAGCGATTTTCGTTTTACTACTCGGCATGATTTTTTAATAAAAGTCTAAAAAAGATATAATACGTATATTTTTTAACTGTATTTTAAAAACTTTAAGAAAAAAAGGGAGAGAGAGAACGAGATTAAATAATATTCAGAAAAAAAGGTAATTGGAATAAATATAAAAGAAGAATGTACCAGGAACTCGGATCAAAATTACATTCCAGAATTAATTTTAGACCGGTTACGGTTATGATTCGAGGCTACTTTCGATTTCAGTCTCTGTGTCAGTTCGATCCTTTTAGCGATAACGGTGACCGTTATAAGTGTATGATAGTCAAAACCGAAAAGGACCGAAATTTAGTTAGTAATTCCGATAATCATCAGGGCTGGGTAATCATTTAAAATACTTAAAAAAATGTATTTAAAATGTAAAATGTTTTTCGAATCCACTTTATATGTAAAATGGGTAAATAGATATTTTAAATAGTTTTCAAATACAGAATGGTTTTCCCTACATACATTTTAATATACATTTTTTTAAGTATTTTACATTTAGCATTTTAAATAGAATTACATTTTAAATGGCATTTTAAATGCAAAAATACCAGGGAATAGGATAAAATGATTAATAAAAGAATTGAAACTAAAAGTTGAATTTAGCCTCGGACTGTTATGCAGATCGAAATTTTTCAGTCCAAATCCCTGGAATGTACTTTGAAACTAAGGATAATTAATGTTATCTACATACGTTTCTTCTTTCCAGTGAAATTGAGTAACACAATAATATATTTGTTAATTGATAAGCAGCAAGTTTAATTTGGTAATATTATCAGCAAACAATTTAAATTTAATTTCACTGATACTATCGTCACTGTTATATTATTTTCGCCTGTCGATTGTAAAAATAAGCAATGTCCTGATAGCAAAATTATCCGCGATTTGAGTATATAGTGAATTTGAAAAATACTGAAACAGACGACATTTAACGCAATAAATGTCAGAGACATTAACTATTACGAGCTGATACGGCCAAAAGCTCAAATAAGACTAATCAACGAAAGCAAGTCTACATGTATTGGACTATTCTCGTTAGCTGGTCTCTTCGCTCTATACTAACGTTCTACATATGGAAAATGTTTTCTCGGGTTTACGGTTTACGCCCCTATCCCCTTCTTTTTCTGATGAAATAGCTGTGGGCTTATGGTCAGCATGTTGCCCTGCGGGATACTCGAGCGCGCATGAGTGAGAGAGAGAG